AGAGAAGAGAAGAGAAGAGAAGAGAAGAGAAGAGAAGAGAAGAGAAGAGAAGAGAAGAGAAGAGAAGAGAAGAGAAGAGAAGAGAAGAGAAGAGAGAAAGAGAGGAGAGGAGAGGAGAGGAGAATCCAGAACAGCAGTGGTTTAATAGTGTAAAATTCATTAGATATATTTAGGAAGTCATTTAGAGCTTGAGACAGTTGTCTATGCATGGACGTGAAGTATTGTTTGAGATCTCCAGAGTATCTGGAAAACGGAATCAACAGACATGGTATTAAATTGGAAGAAACCAATATTTTTCTGGAGCAGCAGCTGAGAGCCAAGTGCTTTATGCTGCGGTATCTCAAACAGGACAAGACACTTGTGTTCAAGCAGCTAAATGAAGTCTTTGCAGCACAGGGCCTAAAATTCAGGCTCCTGCTAAAGTCAATGGAGAGAGACATACACCTTTGGAGGGTGATTCACACTGCTTATTGTCGACCACTCTCACAGATTGGGAACGGGAAGGCCCAGCTGAGTTATTCACATCTAGACACAAAATACTACTTGAGATATCTCTGGGTTTCTGAGTCATCTTACTAAGGTGGCAGGAGAACCTTTCAGCATGCCCATGTCCCCTGGGGCTGGTGGCTGAAAGTCAGATAAGATACCCTACAAAAGWGTAAGTGGCATTTCTGTTCCATTAACATGGCCACCTGAATGTTATTCAAGATGTCCAGATGTTACTGCCATACTTACAGGAAACTCAAGTTTCCTGCCGGCTGGAGGCAAGCAGAAATACCTCAGAACAGCCGAAATTTCAGTTTATGCTTAGATTTAGGTAATCAGATTCCATTCTATTTCTCTACCATATTTCTCTCACACAAGCCAAAACTATTACTCTTCTGATTAAATACAGAAATCTATAGTATAGATACCCATAACTAGTTATCTATACATTTAGTCTAGATGACTATCTCATCTGTGAAAATCTGTAGTTTCATTGTTAATGGAGAGAAATAGTTCTATTTGCTTGCCTAATCATCAGCTTAGACAACTAAATTGAGATCAAGTATTTCTAAAGCATGGTTTATCTCATCCTAAAGCATATATTTAAGCAGCTCAGAGATAGCATTCTGTATTCCTCTGCCACAAAGGTGCCAAAAGTGACAGCCTTAGACTGGACAATGAACAAATTACACCTGAAATAAGACAAATATTACTAAAAATTATATAAACTTATAATGTAATCTCAATTGTTTCTGCAGAGCATGATCTAAGATTTCTCATATACAATCAACTGCTTATAAAGACTTATTATCTTCTCTGTCGTTGCCTGTTTGGTATAACCTGTTTTGTTTTATTTTGTTTTGTTTTTCTGTTCCCTCAATCTGTTTCTCTCTTGCTTCCCAGAGGACTATCTGGAGGACAATGCAACACGGTGTAAGCTTTGGTATTCTTATTCTTCACCTTCATTCCCATTTGTCTTTGTACAATGCTGGCAAGACACTTTTTAAGTTTCATCTTCACCTTCTTTACTTTGTGTGTCTGTAGTCTAAAATGCAGGTTCTTTCTATAATTAATAATAATAATATTATTATTATATTATAAATTTACAATTTATAACTCTAGATCATTTAATTTTCACTAGAGCTGCTAGTTCTTTCTAGTACTCCTGCTTCAGAGATGGTCTTTTACCCCTAGGTAGGAGTGTGATTCCCCAGTGAACTCAAACCCAACCTAGGTGACCACATGGTCATTGAAGGCATGGCAATGTGAACACTCCACAGTGGCATTCAAGTCTGGGCCCTATCCCTTAAGAAAGAACTGGAGCAATGGAAACAAACTCTCCAACCTTCCTGAGCTCCCTCCCTAGAGCTCCCTCTCTGTCTTGCTTTCTGATCTTGGGCAAAGCGCTTAGCTTCTCTGTGAAAGTTTGAAAAAGCAGATCAATACTCTTATACTTTGCAGCTTCAGAGAGTTGCTAAGTTTTATGAATTTTAGCTGCTCCTTGGGTTTCAAACAGAAAGCTTCCTTGGCAGGGACTTGAGTGGGACCCAAGGGGGAGGTGGGTATGCAGCACCAGACAGACACACATCCTCTCACTTGTACCTCAAAGCCGTCTGCTTGGACTATTATATACTGCTTCTTGGCAGGATTAGGCTACAGAGAGCACCATGCTGACATATCCATACTATTCCCTATATTTGAGCTATCTCAAGTTATCTCTGCATCCAGCACATCATCATACCATACAACACTGCTTGGATTTATCTGGAATTTCTCCTAAGGGTCTCTTGCAGCCTGGACCCAGGTGGATGTGTGGAAAATAAATGCCACATTCTGTTTCAGGGGAACATGGGAGCTTTCTTCATTTTCCACCAGGGAGCTGATGCACTATTAAACATATAATGCATAATGCACATGCATCCTATGGAGAGAGGCAACAGAGAAATTGACCATGGCATTCAGGGAGTGATTTACATTCAAGCACAGTATAGTGGCTGCATAGATAAGGGGATGAGCATGCACTCAGTCTGAAAAAAAGAAACCCTTTCATGCTCTTTACTCCAGAGAGGGGAATATATGGTGCCACACTTTGTAGGAAAAGGTTCTTTTATCTGCCCTCCTGCTTTCTTTAAAATAAAGTCTCAATTTCCATAAGCAAAAGACTCTGAAACATTTACTTTAGAAAAACGGTGGGGTGCATTTTAAGTGTGCTTGTGTTCATATTTTTTAACATTCTTGGATTCCGTTGTGATGATTTTTGTTACAATAAAAAAAAAAAGAACACTAATAGTAACCTAAGAATTTCGTTGTGAACAATTCCTTCCCAGTGTTTCCAAAATTAAGGGAAACAAAGCATAACTCAAGAAATGAATCTGCTTTGCATTTTACCCGTAAAAGGCTAAAATTAGCAGGACAATATACTTTGGAGATGTTGCTTTGAATTACTCAGGAAATCCTCTGGAGCACCTCTGGAAGTGGAGTTTATGCTTGAGTTTTGCTTGAATCCATTTAGTCCAGAGTCTAGAAATGTTAAGCATGTGCAGTGACAGACTTCCTGAGATAGGATGTTTATTCTCAAGATTTTATTTCTCAAGGGACCCTAGAATAAAATCCTGCAGGTATAAATCTTGGAGAGCTTAAGAGTAAAATCTAAACTCTCTAATCCTGCAGGACAGATATGAATTTTTTAACACCTTTTGCATATRCAGCCCCTAGGAAAAGATATAAATAATGAGCATGCAAAAGACTTCATAGCACAAGTATCAGTCACAATTTTAGGAGCTAAGATAACAGGCTCTTGCACATGTGTTGGAAGCCCACTGACATCCCACAGGCTAGTTCCTTCACAACCCTTAGATGTCATGCTGTTTGAGGTGTCATATCTCCTTGTACCATGTCAATCAGCAGACATCTACTGTCAACTCTCAGGTGTGTATCTTCTCCAAATTAAGATTCTGTGTGAACTGATTTCTTTTTTCACTGTCTGGATATAATATGCATAAGGAATAAATATATTTTACGATACCTGCAGTGGTCATTTTGTGTCAGTTTTAGGATTTGCTTGGTTTTCTTACAGTAGATAGTTGTTCAGTGTCTGGTTTTGTCTATTTTCAGTTCCTGTGTCACAGCAATACCTAAGTAAGTTTAAATCTGTGCTATCACTTTTTCCCTCGTGGTTAATACCAGTTTCAGGTAGCAAAAGCAGATGAATGATAGTAGCTGTCAGAATCCTCCCAGGAGACCTGCCAGAGTTCTTAAAAAAAAAAAAAAAAAGAAAAAGAAAAAGAAAAAGAAAAAAAAAAGTGTTATTATTCCACAGCCCAGCTCGATGGTTCTGCATGCTGCTCTACCTGATGCAGTGGATTTCTAATGCACATGAGAGAGTTACTAACAAAGTGCTTAATAACAGTAGTTGCCTTTAACTTTTGTGGACCAGGTCTGCCTGCTGTTCAGACCCTGTTTAGTATGAGCAAGAGAAAAATGTCTTCCAACCAAAACAGGAAAGACAGTTCTCTGCCTTAATTAGTTGTCCTAGAAATATGCAGTTTTGATTTTCATGCAGTGTCTGCCATGCCTGAATAATTACGTGTTGCTGCCTGACTCCCCCAGTGAACACAACGCTTGCTTGAGCATCCTCTAAATATGTACTGGTTGCTGCTAGCTGAGCTTCCTTCAAGTGATGGGAGTGAAGACCCACTGAGAGTCATCATCTTATCTCCAGGAATGTCTTAAAAGCATAAACAGTGTTTTGTAAACCCGTTACCATGATTTGCAAGTATGAAACCTGCAGGCTGATTCCACTCGAGATTATTAGACTTGCCTGCACCCAGCGTAAGGAAAAAATGGCAGTTATGGGTCTTTGGTTTTCATACACAGAGGCATGATGTGATTCCTGAGCTTGGTTATTAAAATAAAGAAAAACAGGCTTACAGGCTAAAGATTGCATGTCTATGACATATCAAGCCAGAACAACTTGAGGTTGGATTTATTCGCCCTAGTTTTAACATCTTTAGTGTCTGCTAGCAAAGTCTGAACTACCGCTTTGTTCCTTTATTAATCAGTAGAGAAAATTAGGCACCTCCAGACCTTAAGATATCTATACAGATATGAAATGAATCTGAATTATCCTCTGAATTATCTGTTTCTCCTCACTGAGTATGAAGCAAATCTAGTTGATTAGCTCAGACATCCAATTTGCAGATGTCTAAATATAATTTTAATGTTGGTCTTTGAAGTTAGCCTCCATGAATTCAGAGCAAAGAAAAGGAGAATTTGGTCTTTAAAATGTATTGATAGATAGCAACTTCTAATCATCCTCATTGTTGTAGTATTGTCAGGCACCAAGAAGGATCACTAATCTCCAGTATAAAATAGATTATTCCAGGGACTGCACGAGTTTTATTCAACAGGAATTCCCTCTTCTAAATCTGGATTAAAATCTGATCCTTCCATTTGATCTTTCAGACTCTGTTCAAAAAAAAAGTAACTTTTCTTTTTCCAGTATTCAGAGAAGTTTTTCATTATCAGCCTCTGGAAGATGAATCTAAGCAGGAAATACATCAACACAGCTCTTTCAATTGAGAGATAGATCATGTTTCATTCCATGTGTCTGCATGAATCTCTATAGCAGAAAAAAAAAAAAAAAGTGAATTCTTAGTGTTCTTGTTAATGCTAAAGAAAGATAGTGACTATATAACCATCCTCTGCACTTTAACATTTTGGCACTATATTAAGAAAAGAAATGTCATTTAAAAATTGATAGCAGGGCTTGTGTCCTCATTTGCAGTGCATAAGCTATGCCCATTTATGCACTTTCAAGTAACGTGAGMGGAGCTACTAGACTGACTACCTGGCTGAAAGCTGTTATGCTATGATCAATTCCCATATTGTTAATTGGACTACAAACAACAGGTTATAAAAGCAAGTTTCTATAGGAAAAGAAGAAAAAAAGGGGATTCAAGGTTTCTGTAACCATGCATTTAGCACTAGAGAGGAATTAGAGAGTCCATTTTTGCAGCTGACTAAGTGACTACAGACCATAAAATATCTTTTCAGCAGCAAGCTATTTGTGCATGAGTGTGGGTGCCGATAGAGAAGTTAAAGCTTTGATGATTTAGAAATTAATTACAAATAGAGATTCTCACTCTCCAAAGCTCCAAAGAAAAATATTTCCTGAGCTGTTTTGGCAATTAGCTCTCTCCAGCCTTTTGAAGCTATTTTCTTTTTCATAGGCTGCAGCACGCAGATATATTGTGAACTTGTAACGGGAATATGTAATACCAAATTCACCTTATAACAAATAGCAGGTTACAGCAAACTAAAAACTGWTTTCCCAGGTCAAACATCTACTACATTTTTTTTTTAGTTGTAATAGACATAAATTGACATTTTATGGGTTTTATGAGTATTACTAGTGGTTAGAGGGGAGGTACAGCACAGGTCTGAAAAGATTTACCTTCATACAAATACTGACCCTTTTGTGAACTTTCCTTGGCCAAAAAAAACCCAAATATTTTACATTAGAGAAGAATGCTTATGTTTTCTTCCTAGTTGCTTCTCCTGCACCCCAATCACATCAGCATATCAGTCTAGGTTGCGGACATAGCAGTGCAAGATATTTGTATAATGTTGCTACCTGTGAACAATAAAGCTCAAGTAACTAGTTGTGGATATTCATTCAGGGCTCAGGGCACAGACCTGCAATCATGCTGAAATAAGGGTAAGCAAAAAATTCGTCCCATTTACTTTTATCCATCTAAAATAGCCTTAGATTAGGGCAAGTGTAAGGTTATACAATTAGCAGACCCTATGGCACTTTTCCAGCCCTAGGCAGGGGTGCAGGCTCCAGAAACAGGCAGCTCCACACCGGGGCAAAATGCATAACCCTCCAGTGAATACCAGAGCAGGTAGCCTAGTCCCTATGGAAGGTAGGA